CAGGAATCAGACTATCTGTCCTTCTCTCAACAATCTTGTAACGATTGAGACCTTGAATTCAATCCCATTTGACTTGGAACTTTCATCCAAGAGAGCGAATGAAGCATCAAGTTGTGAGCTTCAAATAAGGATCCACTCTAATTTCTTGATGGGGTTCCTTTACCAACAGATTCAATCCGACTCTAGTCTTGAGATTGGTCGCTTTTGACAAGGCTTGCATTGGATCAATGAAAACTCAAAGACTGCTTGTACACATCATCATCACATCTCATCAAATGGATATTAAATGTAAGATTAATTTATACATATTAATCTTCAAGATCACAACAACAGCACACATAACTAAGATAACAATAACAACAATGATTGACGACAGGGCAGGATCAATGTTATTGAACTTGGCAAGAAGCTTGATAGGAAACAGGTTAAGAGCAACAGCATTAAAGTGCTCAAGTTGAGGTGAATTTATCTGCCTGCATGTAAAGGGAATAAGGCACAATTGATAAGAACCCCCATTTGTCCCAAGTAGCATTGAGATTTTGCAATACTCACCAGGAATTTGTGTGACAGTGTCAGTGGGCTGGTTCTTATTGCTTCCAAGAATCTCTTATTCCGACTGCGCTTTTGATCCAATTGTTGAGCCGCAGATGCTATCATCTGTTGATCATTTGGGGGGGGGGAGGGGAGGTGGATTGGAGGCAGCTGGCCACCTAGATCGTGAATCCGCATGGATGTAAGTTGCTGTGGCAAAGACAGCGGTGGGCCGCTACGCTACGCTACGCTTTTGGCCCAAAAAGTGTAGCGTAGCGGCGCTTTGCTTTCATCGAAAAACCGTAGTGTTAGTGGTTTTTTAGCGGTTTTTTGCTACGCTACGCTGTGCTACAGCGCTTTTAGAGGAAAAAGCGGCCAAAAACCGCTGTAGAGCAGCGTAGTGGGCCCTTTTTTGCGGCCCACACGCGTAGCGTTAGCGGTGTCGTGGCGGAATTCCGCTACGCTACGCTAATCGCTAACAGCGATTCTGCTGCGTTACGCTACACTAACCGCTACGGTTAGTGTAGCGGCCCAGCGTTGGCAAAGATGATTGTCTATGACGACATCATGGTGTTGGAGGGAAAAAATAAAATAAAAATCCAAACCTAAATGATGAAAATCCAGGATTTTCAAGTGAAGATCCCTCCAATCTGTCCAAGCATTCTTCAAATCACAATACATCTGGGAGGGCACTGTACAGTGGGTAGACAGTGAAAAGTGGCTGCTTATTTTGGATTCCAGAGCTCTGAAACACAAACTTGAAGTCATGAGACTTGATCAGGTGGTACATAATAGGTCCCAAAAAGTGAATATAAAAAAATTAAAGCAAAAAATAAAGTTTAAAAATTTGTGAAAAATAAAAAATAAAATTTATTTTTTTTCAAGGCTTTGATATGCATTTTGGGGGAGTGGGAGTGCTGGGAGAAAGAAGGACTGGGAAATGAGAAGAATGATTATAAAGGAAAGTTTTGGAAAAATTGGTTTTCAGATGGCTTCAAACAGCTCTTGAGTGGGGCATTCACCAGCCCGCATTGCAGCAAAGCACTAGAATTTACTGTTTTGGCTCCAATCTGGACCACCAACCTGGCCAAACCTTTTTTGGTTCCAATTTTTTTCATTTATAATCATTCTTCCCATGTTCCCCTCTTTCTTTCTCTCAGCACTCCCACTCCCCCAAAATGAATATCAAAGCTTTTGAAAAAAATGAGTTTTATTCTTTATTTTTCACCAATTTTGAAACTTTACTTTTTGTTTTTATTTTTTCATATTCATTTTCTGGGACCTATTATGCACCACCTGAACAGGTCTCATAACTTCAAGTCTGTTTCTCGGAGATCTGGGGTCCGAAACAGACAGCCACTTTTCACCTGCAACCCACTGTACATTGGGTGTGACAGCTCTTTGTGGCTGCTTGTGTCGGGATTCTACAACAACAAAACCCAAACATCTAGCTCGTCACGTGTGAAATAGGCTCTGCAACTGTCCTCAAAGCAGGTATATTGATATATTACAAGCTACACAAAAGTCACACACATTCCGAGAAGATCGAGAAACAAA